GGCCTCGAACTCACAGAGATCCGCCTGCCTCTGCCTCCCGAGTGCTGGGATTAAAGGCATGCGCCACCACCGCCCGGCCTGGTTTTTCTTTTTTAAGTTAAAATATAATTACATCATTTCACTCTCTTCTTCCCCCCCCCCTCCAATCCTTCCCAATGTATACTATATACCACAGTGGGATGGTTTGTTTTCTTCCTTGATTACAGTGCTTTTTTTCTCTTACAGACTATCAAGAATAAGTATGCAACATCCAAGCATGCTAAGATCAGCACTCTGGCACAGCTGAATTGTACACTAGTTCAAAATTTGTCCAAGGCCGTGACAAAGGCATAACTCAAGTGGACTACTACATCTGCAAATTGGCACCATGTGCCACGTGTACATAGTATACAGTGTTTACTTGCTCTTCAATAAAGGTTGACGTTTTTTACTTTCAAAGCTTACCTCATTTGAATGTGGTCGCTTCTGACTCTAGGATAACAAGTTGTCTGAAACATTTAGGAACATTTTAAAAACTGCTTTTAGTTTAATGGGATCCAACTAATGTATATAATTGTAGCCTTTTTGTTTATATACTTCTTCACTTTTTGTGTCCTGATAGTATCTTAAGTCGTCCTGCAAAGTAAAGTCCTCTGCCTTGCTCTGGTTTAAACTACAGATCTACCAACTTGTCTTGTCCTTCCTTCCACTTTCTACTTCTTCAGGTGGTTGCTGCCCTTCACCTCTCTTGAGCTATGGACTTTCAGATCTGAAACCCAGTTTTCTTGTGTAATTATTTATTTGTTCTTAATTGGCTTGGAAAATAGGATGTTTAAAATTAAACTTTTAAAAAGAATTTGCTCCTCAATCTCAATGTCCTGTACGAATGTAATCATGCATATGTTTTTAAAGAGATATTTTTATATAGGTTCATTTTTTTTCAGTATTCCTTTCGACATTCCTTTCAGTGCCTGTATTGCATTTCATAGTGTGTATGTAATGTAATCATCCCTTTAATGACATTCAAACTGCGTTCTCTTGTTGCCTCTATACACAATACTGCTTGCTAAAATGCTGTTTTGTACCTTGCTTGGCTTTATGAATAGTAGCTTTCCCAGGAGGGAGGGTATGCTTTAAATTCTGACAAAGCCAGGTGAGACTTGCTGTCCACTATACCGAGGTGCCATCTTCTCTTTCTCCTGTCTTGTGTGGCAAATATCCTGTTTTAATTTATACATCTGATGTCAAGTGGAATAAAATTTTATTAATGGGAAGCTTTCCCAATTTCTCATTTGCCCTTTTGACTGTTTAATGTTATCTTTTGCTGTATAGAAACTTCATGTTGCTAATAAACATCTTGTAGTTCTAGATTTTCATTTTTTTTCCTTTTTGGTTTTTCAAGACAAGGTTTCTCTGTGTAGCTTTGGAGCCTGTCCTGGAACTTACTTTGTAGATCAAGCTGGCCTCAAACTCACAGAGATTCCCCTGGCTCTGCCTCCCGAGCACTGGGATTAAAGGCATGGGCCACCACCAGGCTTAGTTATGGATTTTCAGTCTTAAGATCAACAACTAGGAAGTGGGCACATCTTTAATCCCAGTACAAGGGAGGCAGAGACAAGCCAACATTTGTGAGTTCGAGGCCAGACCTATCTCAATTTTTCTAAATGGCTTTCTCCTAGGTATGTATTCCTTCAGTGAACTGTAAGTGACGTGGAAGTCTTCGAGATGAACACCCATTTATATCACCGGGATAAAACATCTCAAGTGAACATTCATTGTCCTCTGATCTAAACGGTTCTTCCCCCCCTGTGATGATAGGATGGTTTTTTATACTGAGTTTTAGGAGTTTGTAGTGCCAGATATGGCTTGACTGTTTACAAGTGCTTGGCATTATCAAATATTTGCCACATGAACTGTGAGATTATGCTTAGTTGCCAGTGCAAGGTTTTACCTGTGTACTATACTAGCTTGGAGTGGATGGGCATGTATCTTCCTACTTAGAAACTTCTTGTTGAGTCTTCACTATGTAGTCCTGAGGTTCCTTAGCTTAGTGCTGGGCTCTTCACTTGTGAAAAGATTTTACTATTTTTTATTAGAATATAATTACATAATTTACATTTCTTCAACCTCTGCCATATAACCCTCCCCTTACATTATCAAATTCATGGCCTGTTATTGTGATATGTTTGTTCATAAATACAATCTGCTTAGTCTATAATGTTACTTGTATGAATAACATAATTTCAGCACCAACCACGTTGGTACTAGAGATCAATTAGAGAACTTCATAGGGAAGACTACCATTTGTTGAGGCTCATGAATGTCCCCCTTCTACGTTAGCATGTCTGTTGGTTTCCTTGTTGAAGTCTTGTTTAGGCAGCCATGTTGCCGAGACTTAATGGATGGAGCTTCCCTAACATTTCAAGGAGAGTCTCAGTCTTCCTGTTCCTCGGCTCTTAGCAATATTTATGCCCCTCTTCAGTGTTCCTGAAGCCTTAAATGCAGGGGTTGATCAGTTGGGGTGGGGCACTACAAGATAACCAGCTCTGAATCTTGATGGTTTGTGATTTTCTGTGGGTATAAGGATAAATATTTAGAATGTGGTACTTGTAACTGAGCTGTCTCCAGCTGGCCTGGGTCTCAATCCTTCCTCACCCTCCTAAATGCTGGAGTTACAGTATATTTTACTGCCTGCTTTGGGTTTGTTTCTGTTGGTATGGAGGTGGTAGTGGGGAATCTAACTCAGGCCTCACACTTGCTTGTAACAAGTTGAGCTACACTTAACCACTGCCCAGTAGAGATTTTAAATCTAATTTTTGAGATTTGGGTATAAGGTCCTATTTGACACATACACTGTCTTCTCAAATCCACCCCCTTCCCTTCCAACTCAACTTTGTGTCCTGGGGTCTGAGTTTTAACTTTATTCTACACACCACCACCACCCCATCCCCTGGGGTTTCTCTGTAGTCCTGGCTATCCTGGAACTCAGAGAGATGCACCCGCCTCCACTTCCTGAGTGCTGAGATTAAAGGAGTACACTTTAGACAGGAACTATAATACGTTGATAACTGGACAAGCATGATGTGATCAACTTAGGGAATAGTATGAAGGATCATCCAGCCCTTCAAAAAGCTGCTGTATTTGTTCAGCAAGGCAGTATACCTTAAGTGACCATGAAAAACTTACAAGTCAATCAATCATTTATATAGGTCCAGCATTTTCTCCATTCCTCGACTTCAAGGCTCAATTGTAGCCTGTCAAGTCAGACACCCAATTCCCAATGATTTCCAATTTCAACCATACCCCCGATCCTGCAAACAATCTTGCCATGTACTCTGTCCAGGTACTTACTGTGTATCCTGGGCTGGTCTTGAACTCGTTGTAATCTTGCCTCAGCCTCCCCAGTTCTGGGATTGCAGGCTTCCTCCCTTCTTTCTGCTGGGAATCTCAGTGGTAGCTGAATGGAGTTCCAATGCAAGGAATGGAAAGATCGTGGGTGTGGCCGTGGGAACTCTGGGGGCCATGTGCCAGGTGTGCCTCTGTGAGGCATTCATTTCTTCACTAAACCAGAGATATGGCCCTTAGGGCCAGGTCCAATGAACAAAGGTCTCATAGGGACTGGGGATGAAGTTCCCTAACTGAGGGACCCTAGACTTGTTCCCAGCACTGCAAGAGAAGGTTTTGTTTTTTTTTTTTTTTTTTTTTTTTTTTTTTTTTTTCCCAGTACAATACTGCAAGAGACTGATTCCACGTCATTCTCACTCAGCACTTGGAAGGTGGAGGCTGGAGATTGGGAGTTCAAGACCAGTTCTGAGCTTCATCAGATCCACTCTCAAAAAATTACAGGAGGAGGGGAGAGCAGAAGCTGGGGAGACCCAGGTTCAATTCTCAGCACCCACATCAAGTGGCTCACAAACCGCCGGTAACTCCAGTTCTGGAGGGAATCTGATGCCTCCTGGCCTCTGCAGCCACCTACAATCAGCCGGTTCACGCATCCCATTCTGCGGGGCATGCTCATCCTCCAAACCCAGACTTGGAGCAGGAGGGACAATAACAGCACCCAGGCAGGACTACTACTGACATCTGTTTAGGCCAGAGCTTCTCTCCCTCCGGGCCACTCTTAGTTTGAGTTAAATTATTCCCGGATACCGCCGCTGGCTCGGTGCTGGGTCGATCCCAGGGAATTATACTTGCTAGGTAAGCGTTCTACCACTAAGCTCCCTCTCCAAAGGCTTCGAATCGACCGCGTGTGTCGGTGAGAGGTTAGGAGAATCTATTTCTCCAGGGAAACCAGGGAAAAGAACGCCGCGCAGTAACCACGGCAACCCGACGCAGGGAGCGGCAGAAGGTGGGACTTAGGGGCGGAAGGGGCGGGACGAGACGGGTCCTTCCGGGTGTCAATTTCGTGGCGGGAATAAACGCTCGGATGTTCCGGTAGAGATCAGACTTATGGCCTCTGCAATGGAGCAGCCGGAGGCTGCGGCCGGGGTTGAGGACTGCGGAGCGGTGAGGGGTGCGCCCCAGGCCGCGGAGGACAACATCGAGGACCGCATCCGCCTGCTGCTCAGGTGCTCCCGCCCGGCATCCTGCTCGGCATCTCCCCCTTGCTCAGAAGGCCCAGGGTTCAAATTCAGACTCACTGGCTGACTCTTAGGGCGTCGAGCCTGACAGCACTGTCAGTTTAACCGCTTTAAGCTGGACAGTGCGGGAAGGGGGCAGCAAAGGATACCCTTCGTGCAGAGCCGCTGGGGGCGAGGGTTAGGCGAGACATTGTGAGGAAATGCTTAGCGCCGTGCTCCGTCCTTCGCTAGGCTTCGAATCTGTCCTCCTGTCCTATCTTGCCACTGTGGTCCCGGCTGGTTGAGCCGCACATCCAAGCCAAGCTACAGGAAGGGTCGGGGGCAGTTTTTTGTTTTTTTCTTTTGGTTTTTCAAGACAAGACAGGGTTTCTCTGTTTAGCCCTGGCTGTCCTGGAACTCACTCCGTAGACCAGGCTGGCCTCGAACTCACAGAGATTCCCGTCTCTGCCTCCTGAGTGCTGGGATTAAGGCGTGTGCCACCACCACCACCCGGCCCAACCCACCTTTTATGGCTAACACCCTTTACGTCCAGAAGCTTCGTTTGTTTATCATTCTACTAGGATGGTGTTTAATATGCTCTCCACTCAGCAGTTTCTAGGGGAAATTTGATGTCAAGGAGCTGACTCAGCCTAAGGTAGACCAAATCCACTCTGCTGCTCTTCTAAGAAAAGCTGTCTTTTGGTACTGGAGATGGGACCCAGCGTCTGGTGTATGCGTAGCAAATGCTGTACCACTGGGCTTCAGCGTACTTCTTCCATGTTTAAATAAGGATGGGAGCCAAAAATATTTCATAACACGTGAAATCCAAATGTAATGCTCATAAAGTTTTATTGGGACATAGTTTTCTGCTACAGGGGCAGAATAAGTAGTTAAAACAGACTGTGTGGCTCCCAAATCCTAAGTTATTTGCTATCTGGTTCTTTACAGGAAAAAAAAAAGTGTTTTGCAGACTTTAAAAGTCATAACAAAAGAGACTTTTTTGAATTTTTGAGACAGATTCTTGCTGTGTAGCACTGGCAGGCTATAACTATATATACCAGGCTAACCTTGAATTTGGAGTAATCCTCCTGCCTCTGCCTTCAGGGTGATAGAATTATAGGCATTAGCCACCATGCCTAGCCATACAAAAGCCTATCTGTTGTTTTTAATAAAATCTCAATTGTCTGATTTTACCAATAAACACTTGGGAGTTAGATGCTGGGGTGAAAGCCTGCTAGCTCAGAGAGGTGGAGAAAGCACCCAGCTGACCTTCCTCCTCATCGGAGGTCCCAGAAACCTTCACTTTCTCCTATGCCGTCTCAAACAAGACTCCCCAGACTGAATGTACCTCCCTTCTCTTCCTGTGTGTCTCTCTATCGTCATCCCAACTCCCTCTTGGTTTTCTTCCTATGTTCACCTCCTGTCATCTGGTTGCTTCCTGTGCCTCTTGACCTGTGTTTGGCTTTATTTACTCCTGTTTACAATATTCAAGCAGAAAGCTCTTGGATTAATGATGTATGCCAGGGCTGAGCCACATCACAGCTAGAAACGGGTTTTTCCAGTAAATAATGCAACCTTGGGGTTCTTAGTGTGATCAAATATCCTGCACCACATTGTCTATCTGTCTGTCTGCCTACAACCATGACAACTTCTTCCCATTTCAGCTGAAGAAACTTTTTTGAGTGTATCTATACAACACTTCTACTTTAATCTGTAATAACTAGTCGGAAGGTGGGGTTGTTTTAGGCAGTAGTAACGATTGAACCTAGGGCCTGAAGCATATTAGGCCAGCACTCTAAGACTGAGCCACGTCCTCAGTCCTTTTGACTTTTTACTTTGAGATTGATAAGTTGCCAAGACTTGGTCTGAAGCCCACAGGCCTGCACTGGCTCTGTCCTCCTCCCTCAGCCCTCCAGGTCACTGGGATGACTATCCTGGTACCCGGTGTGAAATTGTTTTCATTTAGAACTTTGTCACTTAAAGAACTTGCTGTGGCATAAGCTTTCATCATCTGTCAGATGTTTCTTAGGTGTTGCGATGGGTCTCTGAAGAGCGTCTCAGGACTGTGCAGCTGGCCCTAGAAGCATGCGTTACCATCCTCAGCTTTTTTCCTATTATTTTGTGTTGGATCTTGGATTAGGAATAAAAAAAATTTACTAAACATTAATTACTTACCTCTCCATAAGTTACGTTTTTGTTCCCTTTTTTGTATTTACTGAAAATGCTTTGTAAGATTTTATGATTTTTTTTTTAAGATGTATTTTCAAAACTCGGGGTGGTGGCACATGCCTTTAATATTAACATTTGGGAGGCAGAGGCAGGCTGATCTCTAAGTTAGAGGCCAGCCTGATCTACAGAGTGAGTTCCAGGACAGCCAGGGCTACACAGAGAAACCTGTCTCTTAAAAAAGAAAGAAAGAGAGGAGAGAGAGAGAGAGAGAGAGAGAGAGAGAGAGAGAGAGAGAGAGAAATAGAAAGAAAAGGAAAAAAGAAAAAAATTATTTTCATTATTTTTAGTTAGGTATGTGTGCGTGTGTCTGTCGGTCTGCCTGCCTGTGTGTTATACATGCAAATGCATGCCCTTGTAGGTCAGAGGTGGCAAATTCCTCCTGAAGCTGGATTTGCAGCTGATTATGAACAGCTGGTGTTGGTGATCGGCACCAAACTTATGTCCTTTTACAAGAGCAGTATCCACTTAATGGATGAGCCATCTTTCCAGCCCCTCCTGAAAATATTACAGTCTGTATGTCACACTAATAGAGTTTGGGGGTGTCCTCACTTTTGGTTACCTATCTATAGCAGTTTTCATTAAGTACATTTCAGTCTGGCCTATTAATGTGTGTAAGAATTACATTTTTAACTTTTTTCTCCAACATGCTCTTTTTCCGCTCTATTCCATTTTATGAGGCTAAAAGCGAAGACGTCAGTGTTAAGTTTCATGTATTGCATGATGATTGTAACCGCCATCCATGAACACTTTCCTGTCTTTCAATTTGCAGGCTGAGGGCACAAACTAAACAACAACTCTTAGAATACAAGTCGATGATTGATGCAAGTAAGTAGTTTCATTTTCTTTCTTTCTTTCTTTCTTTCTTTCTTTTTTTTTTTTTTTTTTTTTTGGTTTTTCACAGGTAGCTTTGCGCCTTTCCTGGATCTTGCTCTGTAGACCAGGCTGGCCTCGAACTCACAAAGATCCGCCTGGTTCTGTCTCCTGAGTGCTGGGATTAAAGGCATGTGCCACCACCGCCCAGCTCAGTAGTAGTTTCATTTTCAAGTAAGTTTTTTGAGTTTGCTGATGAGTGCTATTGGTTTTAAAAATTATTTATTTTTATTACATGTGCATCTGTTTTGCCTGCTGTATAGCTAAAGAGGGTAAAGCTAAAGAGGGTATTGGGTCCCCTGGAACTAGAGTTGCAGAGGTTGTGAGCCACCATCTGGACAGTGGGAAATTGAACCCAGATCCTCTACAAGAGCAGCCAGTGTGAGTGGTATCCTTGGGAAGAAAATCAGCTTTACAAAAGTTGTTTTTCCTCAGGCATGGTGACTCATGCCTTTAATTCCAGCATTCAAGAGGTAGAGTCGGATCTCTCTGTAAGTTTGAGGCCAGCCTAATTTCCACATTGAGTTCTGGGCTAGCCCGAACTACACCAAGAGATGCTGTCTCAAGAGAAAAACAAGTTGTTTGTGTACTACATTCTGTGTAGCAAACCAGGTAAACAAAGAAATATGCAAGATACTTATGAAATGGGGGCAGAGGAGGTCGGTGGGGGTTTGCAGCAAGACGGCTCAGCAGTTAAAGTGCTTGCCAGATAAGCTGACGCCTGGGTTCAATGCCTAGCACCCAAGTGGTGAGGGGAGAACTGACTGACAAGATGTTCTCTGACTATCGTATGTGTTCCTCATATGCACGCATACATTAAATATTTATTTAAATAAAATTGTTGCTGACTTAGAAAACTTTTTACTTGTAGATGAAGACAAAACTCCAGAACAGATCATGCAAGAAAAACAAATGGAATTGTACGTCATATTTTAATATTTTATCTGTGGCTTTTACTAAGATTTGATCATACGGTGCATGTTACAGTGCTGTCTTTCTTTTCCTTTATGATTCCAAATGAGTAAGTCCTGCCTTTGTTGGGAGGTGGTTGATTTGCAGTAGAGTATTGGTGCTAGGGGGCGGTTGCATCTCTGCTGTCTGGCATCCCCCGACACTGTCTAGATCCAGCTTAGCGAAGGAAGTCAGCCATCAGCTCACCAGCTGTGTAGGTAGGCTCCTGTATGGTGAGCCTGTAGTTTTCTTCTGTTCAAATAGAGGTGTTCAACCTTTTCTCCAACCTTTTAAATTTGTATTTACTTAATACGAATTTCAGTAACGACTTTGATTTTGATTTTTCTTTGGTTCATGTTTCTTTAACAGTAAAATTGAAGACCTGGAAAATGAAATTGAAGATGTAAAAAGTAATTTTGAAATAAAAAATCTTGCGCTAAACAGGTAACTTTTACCTTAATACTACTAAGAATTGTGAAGTAAATGCAAAAATGAGCATGGATAGACGTTTGAGGGGATTTTTTAACTAAGCTGAATCAAATGATGATTAGAAGCCAGCCATAGCCTGTGATCTCAGCACTCAAGAGGCTGAAGCTGGAGTTCAAATCCAACGTTGGCTACACAGGGAGGTCCTATCTTTAAGTGGAGGGTGGAGAGGGAGGGAAAGCTGGGAGTGTTTAGAAGTTCACATCTTTAATCCCAGCACTCTGAAGGCAGGGGCAGGTGGATCCTTTTGAGTTCAAGGTCAGCCTGGTCTACATAGCAAGTTCCAGGACAGCCATGACTAAGTAGTGAGATCCTGTCTCCAAAAAAAGGAAGGGCACAGGAAGAGGAGAGAGAGGGACAAAAAAAGATGATTAGGTAACGTTACAGAAACTTCTAACCCTGAGAGAAGAATTCCATTGTTCATTAGTATCTTCCTTGGAAGAAGGTATGTAGGATAGGGATGATAAGGCGTCTTCATGAAGTTAGCGGAGAATTTCAAACACATTGGTATTTAAAAGCATTGCATAGATCCATTTATTTCAGTAACTGTTAATACATAGACTTGTCATAACGTTGTTTTGAGACAGGGTCTCACTCTCTATATAGCCCAGGCTAGCCTGGAAATTGGGATGCAGTTCAAATTGACCTAAAATTTATAGAAGTCCTCCTGCCTCAGCCGTCCGCGTTCTGAGATGACTGGAGAGGGCCACTTCCCTTGTTATAAAGTTTAAATATGCTTTAATTACTGGTTTTGCATTTGGGGTTTTCATTTTTGTTAGGTTTGGGTTATTTTGTTGTATTTAGAGATAAGTGCCTGGCCCTGGAATTCATAAAACCTCCTTTCTCCTGCTGAGTTCTGGGATTATAGGCATATTGATTGTGGCTGGCTCTATATTGGTATTTTTAAGTATATTTGAATAGGGGTATGAATATAAATATAATATCATAAGCTCTGTGCTAAGTACAATATCCATGCACTGTTGTAGGAATTTTCTGTCAGTAACAAGACTGCATATATGAAAGTAATTCCTTAAAATTCTGTCATCTAGTGATGCTGTGGCCACTTTGTGTACCTTCTGTTATATTCTTATAGTGATCAGATGGCAAATGACGCATGTCTTAGCATGTCTCTTTATGGTGATGTATATTAGTAGACAAACATGACCACTTACAGGCTTGTGATTTAGTAATTGAAAATGAATGACTCTTATAACTACTACTTTGTAGTTTTGACCTTTCCAGATGACTTTAAGTTCTAAAGGGGCTAGCTGACGAGTCTGAAGACCTGAGCTTGACCCCTAGAACCAGCATGGGTGGACAGAGAGAATCAGCTCCTACAGGTTGTTCTCCGACCTTCACCTGTGTGCCCTGGCATGTGCACCATACACACACACACACACACACCAGAAATACATAAAAAAAGTAATTTAAGCTATTTTAACTAGTTATATAGAGAGGAAAGGAAGAAGTAACTCTGCTACCAGTGCACGTAATTGCCCATTCTCTCACCCAGTTCAAGTTTGCCTCCAACTCTGGGTCCTCCTGCATGATAGAGACCATCGGCGGATATCCACTATGCCTAGCTGTGCCCTTTGAGTGTGTGGTGGTGGTGGAGATGAAGTCCAATCTTGCATAGCTCACTCTGCCAGCTTAAAGTGGCGTGCTTTGACATTCACGGTCAAGCTGGTGTGAGGGTGCACGCCAATGGAGAGGCAGGAGGGTCAGAAGTTCAAGGTCATCCTCAGCTGAAAAAGAGTTTGAGGCCAGTCTAGGCTTCATGAGACCTTGTGTCAGGTGGGGAAAGGGTGTAACATTCCAGCCATACCCCCTGCGTCTCCTCAGCAGGCCCATGCTGATGTCCACAAGGCTTGGCTGCTCTTTCTTATTTCCGTGACTTAATTCTTTACTTTAGAATATTCCCTGGGGTTGGAGTGATGGCTCAGTGCTTACAAGCACATGCCCTTCTTGCGGAGGACTTGCATTCAGTTCCTAGCAGGACCTGAGTTCAATTCCCAGCACCCATATCTGGCAGCTCACAGCTGCCTGCAACTCCTGCTCTAGGCAATCTGACACCCCTCAGTCCTCTTTACTCATGTGCAAACATATACGTGTATACTTAAATAAATGATAATAAATATATATATATATTTTTTTTTTGGTTTTTTTTTTTTTTTGGTTTTTTTGAGACAGGGTTTCTCTTTGTAGCTTTGCGCCTTTCCTGGAACTCACTTGGTAGCCCAGGCTGGCCTCGAACTCACGAAGATCCGCCTGGCTCTGCCTCCCAAGTGCTGGGATTAAAGGCGTGCGCCACTGCTGCCTGGCTATAAATATATTTTTTTAAAAAAGAATATTTCCTATGCAATACTGTTTTAAAACATACTGTTTTGTGTATATTTGAAGGGGAATCAATCTTGTTCTAAAAAATGTTAATGCCTTATAAATGTTACTTGTTCTGTAAAATACAAGCTTTTTCTCTAAGATGTCATTTTCTTTTTTGTTATCTAATGATTTCTTTTTCTTGTTTTTTAGGATGAAACTTTCAGCTGCACTTAAAAATAACATGGAAAAGGTGGGCGTTGAGAGTAGGTATGACTTTTTACTTTTTCCTGGATTTGGAAAGAATGGGAACAATAAGGGAGATATGCAAATGATTTTAGATTGTGACTTTAAAAAAATGTGCATGATGGGCTGGAGAGATGACTCAGAGGTTAAGAGTGCTGACTCTTCTTCCATAGGACCTGAGTTCAATTCCCAGTACTCACATGGCAGTTCACACCTGTCTGTAACTCCAGTTTCAGGGGACCCTGACATGCATGGCAAAAACACAATTAATTGCACATAAAAATAAAATAAAGTTTTTTAAAAATGTGCATGAGCCAGTAGTGGTACATCACTTTAATCCCAGCACTGGGAGGCAGAGGCAGGAGGACCTCTGAGTTTGAGGCCAGTTTGGTCTATTTAGTGAGATCCAGGACAACTAGGGCTATATAGAGAGAGACCCTGTCTCAAAAAACTTAGACCAAAAAATGTGTGTGTGTATGTATGTGTGTGAGGACAACTTGAAGGGATCACTCAGTTTTCTCTTGACATATGGGCCCTGGGAATTGAACTCAGGTCCTCCAGTAACAACTTAATGAAATAGGACACTCCTTGTTTTTCATTGGTAGAAATGAGCTTGTTTTACCTGCCTGGGCTACAGGGTGAGTTCAAGGATAGCCTGAACCACTTAATGAGACCCTGTCTCAAAATAAAAAGTTTAAAAAGAAAAAAAAAAGGGAGGTCTGGGATGTAGCTCAGTGGTAGATCACTTAGCCAGCACGTATGATGCTAAGTTCAGTCACAGTACTGGAAAGCGGGGAGGGACAGAAGAGGGAAGGACATTAGATGCTGGTTCTGGTTAGAGTTTGTTAAAAATTGTAAATAAAAGTTCTAGCAATCCTAAGAGTCTTCCCTCAGGCCACATCTGCGATCTTCCCAAGGCTCTCAAAATCTTATGATCTAATATACCCCCCCATGAGCACCAGAGCTCTGGGATGGATCTGGGCACCTCTCCCCTCTGGATGCCTTCATTCAGGCTGATTTGTAACCTCTTGATATTCCTGCTGACTCAGATTACAGATCCTAAACTCTGAAGTTTCAGAGCCAGGTGTGGAGACACACGCCTTAAGATCAGCTCTTGGGAGGCAGAGATTGGCAGATCTCTGTGATTTTGAAGCTAGTCTTGACTCTCGTGAAACCCTGTCTCAAAAAAAAAATATTTTTTAAAACATTTATTTATTCACCTTGTGTGGGGAGGAGTGGGTATGGCACCCCCTTGGAGATCAGAGGACAACTTGCCAGAGTGACATCTCTCCACCGTTGGGGTCCAGGGGTCACACTCAGCTCACTAGGCTTGGCAGCAGGCACCCTTACTTCCTCAGCCCTCTCACAAAGCCTTTAAACACTCTCGTAGTGAAGCTGGAGAGATGGCTCAGCAGTTAGATCTAGCTGCTCTTCCAGAGGACCCAGGTTCGATTCCCAGCACCCACATGACAGCTTACAACCATCTGTAACTCCAGTTCTAGGGAATCCAATGCCATTTTCTGGCCTCTGAGGGCACTGTGCACATTTGATGCACGCACATACATGCAGGTAAAACACCCATACACATAAAATAATAATAATTTTATTTTTTGTCATTTATTTATTTATTTGTTTATTTTGAGTAAAACCAAAACTTATTCTAAGCCACAGTCATCCTAGGGTCCCCCTCGCTATATACCCTCCCTGGTTCTGTGGGTTGCAGTCTGATTGTTCTTTGCTTTATATCTAGAGTCCACTTATGGGATTATATACCATGTCCTTCTGGGTTTGGGTTACCTCACTCAGGATGATATTTTCTAGTTCCATCCATTTGCCTGCAAATTTCATGCTGTCATTGTTTTTCTCTGCTGAGTGGTACTCCATGTGTATATGTACCACATTTTCTTAATCCATTCTTCAGTTGACGGGCATCTAGATTGTTTCCAGGTCCTGGCTATTACAAATAGTGCTGCTATGAACATGGTTAAGCATGTATCTTTGTGGTATCAATCAGCGTTCCTTGGGTATATGCTCGAGTGGTATGGCTGGGTCTTGGTAGATCAATTCTCAATTTTCTGAGGAATCGCCATACTGATTTCCACAGTGGTTGTACAAGCTTTCATTCCCACCAACAGTGGAGGAGTGTTCCCTTTGCTCCGCATTCTCTCCAACATTGATTGTCAGTGTTTTTTATCATTGTTATTTATTCATTTATGTATTATGTGTATACCTACATGACTTTATGTGCAGCTGATGCATGTAGATGCCTGCATCATTTTTTTTTTGGGGGGGGGGGGGTTCGAGACAGGGTTCCTCTGTGTAGCTTTGCGCCTTTTCTGGAACTCTGTAGTCCAGGCTGGCCTCGAACTCACAGAGATCCGCCTACCTCTGCCTCCCAAGTGCTGGGATTAAAGGTGTGCGCCACCACCGCCTAGCTTGCCTGCATCAATTTTTAAAAACAAAACAGTTTTATGTTAAAGGAACAAAGTGCAAGTTAGACTCACCATACATACCGGACATCTCATGAAAACACAAAGTTCAGATAGGCCAAGCAGGGTCTGTAGCGTGTTTTCGAGTTTACTGCTGTTAACAGTAACTTGAATAGGGCCATTTTTAGTGTGGCCATCTCTCGCTCCTGGGTTGTTGTGCCTTAGATTCCCGTGTGAGCAAGCTGGAGCCCAGTGTAAACAGTAAAACCACCTGCAAGCTCTTGATTAGACACTCATCGCATCGCTAGCCAGCCAAATGTTTCTTTGGCTTCAGTAAATATGTTACAGAAGTCCCTCCGCTGTCCCCTGGCTCCAGAAAACCACTCAACTGCTGGAGCCTGGGGTGCCCCAAGCCCAGGTCCAGGCTGCTCAAATAGCTCATTAAATTGTGGGTGATTTTTTTATTGTTGTTTTGTGTTTGGTTTTCTTGTGTTCTTTCTTTGATTTTGAGATAGACCTTTCCATGTAGCCCGGGCTGGCCTTGAATTAATTATGTGGTACAGGCTGGCTTCAAACTCAAATCCTGCCTTACCCTCCCGAGTCCAGGAATTCCTGGCTTTGGCCACTATGCCCATTTATGCAGTCAGGGATTAAATCTAGACCATGGTTCATTCAAATGTGTTCATTCTAGGCAGGCAGTCTGCCAACCAAGCTACATTCCCCTCCCCAAGATTTGCTTTTATTACTTGATATGTATAAGTGTTTGTGGGTATGTATGTATGTGCACCACATCCATGCAGTGCCTGCAGAGGCCAGAAGAGGGCATCAGATCCCTGGGACTGGAGGTACAACTGGACTATTGTGTGAGCTATTATGTGGTAGCTGGGAACCCAAACTGGGTCTTGGGCAAGAGCAGTAAGTACTCTTAACCACTGACCTACCTCTTCAGCCCTGAGATTTATTAGTTTTAGCTTAAATAAGAAGTCATATTTTTGTTCCCTTTGCAGTGTGCTCACTGATGACATGAAGCACATATTAAAGCTACAGAAGTTGATAATGAAGTCACAGGAGGTGAGCTGGCACACGGGGTGGGTGCTTGTGTGTTTTCATAATTTGGATAACATCTTGCTGCTAACTGTATGACACAAGACTGAGATATTCAGTGGGACTGTGTGTCTGCAGATCGCTTTCCTTAGGTTGTTTTATCATAGAGCTTACTTGTTACTGATGTTACAAATTATCAACATAATTTAAGTGACTATTTCCTTCCTTTGGCTTTGTGGAAATAGAGGAATTGAAAATCTCAGCTTCAGGGCGAGTGTTAATACATAGCCTATGATCCTAGCACTGAGGAGGCAGAGACCGGGATCAATTCAGTCTTTCTTGATTCCATAGTGAGTTGAGGCTAGCCTGGGCTATTTAAGAGATAGCTGGGTGTAGTGGGACATGCCTTTGCCTAATCCCAGCATGCAGAGTAAGTTCAAGGCCAGCTATATAGGAGATTTGTTTCAAAATAAAGCACAAACAAAAATAAAGATAAAGAAAAAGGGGGAAATTGGAGCTTAAGAAAATCAGACTATGTGAAACTAAGTGATGTATTATCGGTTTATCATTGAGTGACATGTTTTAATTTCATTTTGATAAACAGGAGTCTTCAGAATTAGAGGAAAAGCTGCTTGATGTTAGGAAGAAGAGACTTCGTATGTAGACTATGTTTAAAATTTTCTTGCAGTTGTATTTGTGAGTGTGTGTGTGTGTGTGTGTGTGTGTGTGTGTGTGTGTGTCCGCCCAAACATATGCATATCCCCTGAGATGCTCACGGGGAGGTCGGTGACAACCCTTAAGAATCTTTCCTTCTGCCGCGTCAGGTCTCAGGTTGGGAGCAAGGGCCCTTCCTCACTGGTCCGTCTCACTAGCCCTTGTTTTTGGTTTTCCAGACAGGTTTTCTCTGTAATCCTGGCTTACCTAGAACTCTCTCTGTAGACCAGGTGGGCATTGAACTCACAGAGGTCTGCCTCTGCCTCTGAGTGCTGGGATTAAAGGCATGCACTACTGCCACCTGGCCTCACTGGCCCTTTTAATTATTTAATTACTTGTGGAACACATTTTTACCTACTTTAGCTTTTCACAGGGACAGATTTCTCAGCAACTGATAAATTTAATTTTTAAAATTTCTGAACGTGGCAGTTAAGAAAATTGGGTGTGAGATGCATTTTGCTTAGGTTTTGTCGTTTTAGAGCTTTAAACCACAGTCAGCTGTGGTGGCACAAGCCATAAAGCCGGCACTCTGAAAGCTTAGACACAAGGATCAGGAAAGTCAGGTCATGTTCTACTTTATAGTGAGTTCAAGGCCAGCCAGGATTACATGAGAGCCTGTCTCAAAATAAAAATAAAAAAATTACAGTATGAGTACATTCTCTCAGTGAAGAATCAAACGATAGAGAACATATAGTAAGGAGTCATGCCCCCCTCTCTTTGTGACTTTAGTTTGGTGTATGTCATTGTAGAGTCTTTCCATAGGAACATATTTATAGTGTACATAATTTCCCAGTTATCATTATAGATGTTTCCACGGTCTTACCACCTAATTTATTACAACGTAATTGTACTGGCACTCGTAAGGACAGAGGTTCATCACTTGTTCAAAAGCCAGCCTGGGCTACATAGTGTACAGCAGGCTAGACAGGAATTTATAGCAAGACTTTTTAAAATATATATATATATATTTAAATATATGTATGCATATGTGTGTGTATATATATATGTACAAATATATGGCATGAGGTTCCTTTTTTTTTTTTTTTTTTTTT